CTAAATGTGGAAAATCTGAAAGGTTTCCTTCTAAAATTAAGAATAAGAAAGGATGTCCACTATCACCACGCTGTTCACCACAGTACTCAAAACATTAGCAGAATAATTAGGCCTGCAAAAATAATAAAAGGGATATGTGTAGGCAAGGTACAACTCAAATTATTATTATTTTCAGGAGGCATGATCTTCTGTATGGGAGATACAAAAAATTCACCAAAAGGCTCTTAGAATTAATATCCTGATTCAGTAATGTAGCAAGATACAAAATCAACCCACAAATATCAATGACATTCTTATACACTAATAATGAACCCAGTGAGAAAGAAATTGGAAAATAAAGTACCATTTACAAAAGCACTAAGAAAAATTAAATACTAGGAAATAACCTAACCAAGGAAGTGAAAATATCTACAATGAAAACTAAAGCTCTCTGAAAAAGAAAATCAAAGCGAATATCAGAAAGTCAGTGATACCCGTTTCTGGGTAGGCAGTACCAATATAGTAAAAATGACCATACTTTCAAATTGAGATGCAATTAAAGAAATCACAATGAAAATTCCAACGCAATCTTCACAGAATTGGAGAAAAACATCCTACAATTTGTATGGAACCAGAAGAGCAAATCAATGGGTAAAAAGTAAAGTGAGAGGCATCACAATCTGGGACTTGAAGTTATATTGCAAAGCTAGTGATAAAGACAGCATGGTACTGCCACAAAAGTAGCCATGAGGTTAGAGGATGAAGAAACAATCCTAGTAACACTCAGCACCATGTTCCAGAATGGTAGTAAGCTAGAGAATTTGTTCCTTGGAATGGGGTTCAGTGTTCTCAGCAATCCAGGACCTTGATCCCTACATCTAAGAGAGAAAGAAGCCTAGGTACTGCTCCAACAGGCAGCAGACCTTGGAATCATCCACACGATTCTGAGTTTAGGTGCACGTGGAATACAAAAGTTGTAGGGTCAGGAAAGTTTCCACCCAGATTTCAGAAGAAGATCTGGGAGGCCAAGAAATGTATCCCGAAGAGGGCAGTGTGTGAAGTTGTGAGTGTGAAGTTATAGGTGCAGTGGAGATACCAGAATATTGAAGAAACCATAAACATGGATCATCTGAGGAAAGCTGGAGCAATGAGTAAAGCCAGTCCAAGAGAGAAGCTGTGGGATCTACAACCACTGGCAGTGCCATAGGGGTGGAGCAATGCAAGACCTTTGGAGTTCACATCTTGCCCAGACTGCTTTGGATGCTGGACATGGAGCTACAGGACTTAATGCTTGCCTTGCTGGATTTTGGACTTCCTTTTGCCCCATTCTTTTTGATCCCCTTCTTTTTGTGTGTGTTTATTTCTTTTTTTTTTTCCTTCCAGTACCAGGAATCGAACTCACAACCTTGCACTTGCCAGGCAGGTGCTTTGCCACTGAGCTAAATCTCCAGCCCTTGATCCCCTTCTTTATTAGAATAGAAATGTCTATCATGTGCCTTTGTACACTGGAAAAGTTTAACTTTCTTTTCATTCGTACAGGGGCTACCAGAAAAAGGTTTGTCTTAAATTCTCAGAGGAGACTTTAGACTTGGACTTTTCAGCAATCTGAAACTGTTAGGACTTTGGCAACTCTTGGAGATGGACTAAATGTCTTTTGCATAAAGGTTTGTGCATGAGTCTTTGGGGGGGCATCAGGGATGGAATGTTATGGCCTGTGTCTAGTTGTTCCCTCAAAGCCTCATTCAATCATAGGTAGGGCTGCTGCTGTTGCTTGCTTCTTTGCTACTTTGCCATTTTGCTGCCTTATTCTTACCATGAACTGTTTCTCCTCTGCAATAGCCTTTTGCCATACCTCCCTGCCTTGGAGACAGCCAACTATGAAATGAAACCTCTACAAACTGTGAACTACAGTAAACTTTCATCCTTTACCTGAGGGATGTTGATTATTTTGTCTCAGCAATGAGAAAAGCCACTAAGACAACTCAATTGTTCATGTTTATAGAAGCACAATTCATAACAGTGAATCTTGCAAGCAGGCTGTATGTCCATCAACAGATGAAAAGATAAGTAAAATGTAGCATTTACACGCAATGGGTTACTATTGTGTCATAAAGAAATACAAATATGAGTCATTTGTAGGGAAGTCAGTGCACCTTGAGAGAGTAAGTGAAATAAATCAGACACAATATCACATGATTTATCTTGTATGAGAAATCCAAAGTATAAATTAAGACCAAAATTAATACAGATGATAGGAAATATAGAGATAGATCTTTCTCATGGGGATTGGATCAAGAGATGGAGGGAGCAGAATGAAAGGGAGAGAAAGGGAATGAAAAAAAGAATGAAGAAGAGTTATATCCATGTACAAACTACATAAAAGTCGTGCGATTATGTATTGCAAGCATGTATAAAAAAGGGCAAGGGATCAAGAGATGGATGAAGAGGGGATGGAAGGAAGGGTAAAGAGATGAAAAAATGAATTAAAATGTATTATGTACCTCTACCAATTCCACATGAGGAATGTAAACATTAATTACTACAAACATGTACCAATAAAAAATATATGGCAGGAATTCAGATCAAATACTCCAACAATAGAATGTACATGTGATTCACATATGCCATGCCAACATGGTGGTCACATAATTCCTTCTTAGTTGTGGTCTGATTACAGACAGCCACATCAAATGCCAAATTCACCTCTTTCCCCTTGCACCGAAAACCCAAACAAAGCCAGTCTCAAGAGTCCTCCCCTCCAGCTCACAGGTAACATCTGATGCTGTCCCTGGGCTTCATTTAGGGACTCTTCCCCCTCCCAGGTGTGATGGCAGAGTGTGTGGGAAGTTTCACTTGCAAGTTGGAGTTGGTGGGCTTATACTTACACCCTGTAGGGTGTTTGCAGGAATCCTTAGTGTTTGGAAGAAGGGTGATGAAGAGAAGGGGCTGGGATATGCAGAATCTGATCCAGGATTCCAGCCTTTGCAGTACTTGTTTGTTCATTCATTCCCTCAGTTTTTTTCTTTTTTTGTTTACCATTCTCATATCTGCTGCTCCCTGAAGGGGCAGGGGCTGGAGCTGTGCAGGCCAGCCATGGTGGCTCTGTTTCCCCTCCAATGATCCAGATGTTAGGCATCATCTTTCTGATTAACGTTCTGGTTCAGGGTACAGGAGCTCCCCCACTACAGAGTACCTGTGGCTTCAGTGAATCACCTCTTAGCGCCTCAGATGCCACTCATCCTCCAGTCAGCCACTCTGGATCTCTTGGATATATTCTTGTCTTATGGGTTTTCCAGTCCTTGTGTGACACCAACAAATCAGACAGAAAACCTCAGAAAATTTGAGAGAACAAGAATGCTGACAGCAGGGGTCACTGTGGGACTTCTAATGGAGAGCTCTTTCATGTGCATGTACTCTGATGCCTGTGTTCCTGGGAGATAAGCCTTGTGTATTCACCAATGAGAACTCAGATCATGGTTCTCTCTGGGCCCAGCAGTCTCCTGATCTCCAGCCTGAGAAGTTGTTCTGACACTTGCTTCCATTCTGACTTTTCCCATGAAGCAGACCCTGTGCCTGCCCTGTCAGCCTTTTCTAATACAAGACCATTCACTCAGGTTTCTTATTGTTCAAGAATGGTGAGGACAGAGAGTAGTTGGGACAAATCTTGCATGAGAAGCCATTTTTTGAATGAGGTCCACAGGGAGGATATAAGGCTACTCCAAATCCTTTTTACACTACAAGGGCTGTATTTACTCTAGTTTGGGCTTCTGTCATGCTTATATATTTCTCTCACTGCACAAATAGGTATAGATCTCACAGCCTTGCATCATATTCCCACCTTGTGTCTGCCTCTCTAGGTCAGACCCCCAAGCAATGTAACGCTCACCTCTGATTTAGCAGCTATAAATCTTTGTCTCTTTCTTTCTCCCAACCTGTACTCTTTCAGCAATACTCCCTCTCCGAATCTCCAGGAATGTTGGCCAGACTCATCTGATACCTGAACAGTGGCATCAGTGTTTATCATGAAAATACATTGTGGTGTCAATGGAAATCAAGAAAACTTCCCTGTTACCTTCTGAACTAATAGCTAGCATCAAAGGAGAACCAGGATTCTGGGTCATTAGTCACCTTTCTGGGTCAAAAGTTATCTTTATTAACTTTTTGTTTATTTTTGGCCTTTATAGCAAGCATTCATCTGAGTGTTTCTTTTAGATTTGGGCTGACAGACCTGTAGCCTACAGTATCATACAGGACAATAGGGAAGTGAAGTAAACACCCTTTGCTGGAGCTATCAGGTTTTTCACCAGCCTCTCACTGCCTGTGAAAACATCCATTATCAGTGGTGACAATTTCATCCATTCATGCACAATTGATAGAGTCTGCCTCCCTTCCATGGAAATATCACTTAGGGAACTTACGGGTTATCACTAATAGAGCATATCATCTTTACACAGGCAGAAATTATTTTCTCAAGACACAGAATCTCTCAGTGAGAGACAGTGTGGTTACATTTCTTTTACTCTTACATCATCATAGAGGATTTCTTTATCAAAAATGCCGGTTTGCAGTACAAAACTGATTAGGAGATATGAATTTAGGGAGTAAGAAATACTTGGTACATTCAAAATAGATAGTTTGATGAGAATTTAATAATTTATGATGTTGGAAACAGAGTATCTGGAAAGCCTGTGGACAGTGAAAACCATGACCTGTGGCATCACCTGTGGACAGTGAAAACCAGGGACCACTGATGTCTGTGCAGAAGATGCACAAGTTCAACTGGGAAGTGTGTTGGTCTACAGTGACTCCACATATTTAATCTCTGAGGAGCGGTTGGAACCGCTGAAGCTGGAAAGTAATTACATGTGTAGGACGAAGCCAGCCTGAGAACAAGGGAGCTCCTTGAAGCATGTAAATAAGCAGGTGTAGCTTGTTAACTGATTGTTGGGCAGTGAGGTGGAAATTAACCAACCTCTCGAGGGTATAAATAAATGCTCTATTGTTCTTGGGCAGTTCCCCTTCACCGTTTAGGAGAGAGAGGACATCCACCTGATCCCAGCTTTTTGTCACTTGTCTATTTTTTCCTCGTTCTCACAGCCATTCATTCCCAGGGTACAACAGATCCATAAAAGGAGCAAACAGTCCAACCACACCATCTTCCTCTTCTAAATGTAGAAAGTTGTAGGAAGTGCGTTAACTTACCTTCAATGCTCAGCTATGTAATGTTCGGTAAAGGGTTGCGATATTGTGGCCAACAGAGGGTACTCTGGGTATGACAATAAAGTGAGAGATAGAATGTGACTTTTATGGGGGAAATAACTGGCTTTTCTAGTGGGATTGAGTGCAGTGTACCTCAGGGTTGTGTGACCATCCCACAGTTGGGGCTGAGCTAGATTCAAGAAGACACTCACTGCTATGCTTGTCTGCCATAGGAATGATCATTCAGGCCACCTTTTTCTATGATGACTAGAACCACCACCCACCCCAGAGTCCATGAGGGGCTAGAAATGGGACAGGAATATTTGCAAGAAGTGACTTGCTCTGAGCAATGGAAGGAAAGAAGGAGAGATAAGGATGTGTTCTGCATGACTCAAGTTTCTTTCATTCTCCTCCCTTTCTTCACTCCTTTCTTCCTTCTTTCCTTTCTTACTTTCTTTTTTTTTGAGATGTGGTCTTGCAATATAGACCAGGGTAGGCTAGAACTCATGATCTTTTCATCTCAGCCTCCCAAGTGCTGGGTTTATAGACATGCACCACCACACCAAGCTCAATGCTCTTTCTTAATATACAATCAGCATTTGCCTTGTTACTCTGCTGTTACCACTTCAGAGAGTCCAGGTGGGAGGTTCTACCTCATTGCCCCCTGGGTTTGCCTTTGGTAAGCTGGATTTGCAGGGTTGCATCTTGTTTAAGTGTCTTCTCATTTTTAACTTTTTAATGTTCAATTCCTGGGTTGATGCTTGGCAGTTGCCTATGGTGAGTAGCTTTTTTGCTAGTATTTTGAACCCTTAGGAAATGACTACTTCTTAGAGGTGTCTTCCAGCTGTAGATGGCTTTTGGGTTTTGAGTCTGTTGAAAGATCCTACTTCTTCAATTTACTGGGGGTGAGAAATTGATGCCTAATACCCCAGCCTACAGTTCTTTGGCACTGGCCTATTGTATTTTTTATGACCCTTAGGCACTGTGAGTCTTGGTATACCAGGAAGAACAGCTGGTTAGAACAATTATGTCACCTTGGTTAAAGAAGTATAATCAGTAATAACTATCAGTTTTCCACCTTTAACCATATGAACTAGATTTGTGATTATGTAACAAAGTTTAAAACAAACTAGAAAATTGTATACAATAAACAAGCCCTTAATATGACAATTTTACTCTCAAAGAAGAAAATTTAAAGGTGGTTGGGGGAAAATAGAAATAGAAGAAGAGGAAGAGATTAGAAGCAAGGCTGGAGAACAAAGGAAGATCATGCAAACTTTGTGAAACTGGTGCAGAAGACAGGATGGAGAGAAGAAAGAAATAAAAAGAAGAACAGAACAGAGCAACAACCACAAAAAACCTAGAAACCATGCTCACACTCATATAAAAACAAGAACAAGCAATGAAAAAAATAAAACAAAAACAAGGAAACAAACTAAAAACTAAAGAGGAGAAAGAGAGAGATGGACAGATCCACTTAAAGGTGTGTCTCTGCTGTCACTGGTGGACAATATGGGCAGAGTCCAAATCTGTGTTGTTTAATCCCATCAAGCAAGCAGTAGCTTTACAGTGGAGTGTTGATAATCTCAGTAAGCATTCATCTTCATTTCCCCTGAAGTTTAGACTGGTTTCTGGCCATGAGGCTGGAACCAGACCCATTCAGCCTGCAGCAGTAGTGCACCTTCTTCTATGACCTTGAACTCAGCTGGAGGCCACTGTGTAGAGCCAGCAGTAGTTCTGAGTTTCAAGCTCAGTTGTTTCTTCCCCAAGATGACTCCCAGCCCCTTCCTGTGGGAAGTCTGAACCCCTGCACCACTTACCAGCCACCGCAGTCCTCTGCATCCACTGCTCCCTTCCACTGGTGTGTCTCTCTGTGGAGGCCTCCGGATTAACCGGCAGTCAACATGCATCTGCAGGTTCAAGCTGCTCTCTCACATGCAGTGAGTCTTGGCTTAGGGAGAAGACACTACCTGCCACTTCCTTCTTCTTCACTGAAGTTTCTCTTTTCACTCTCCCTTCAATTCTCCCTTCAGTGGATCCAGGGGACCCACTACCCTCCTCCTTCTCTTCATGTAGCTGTATCCTAGTGTCTGGACACCAAATCTTTTTTTTTTTTAATTTTAAAAATAAAAGGAGTAAAACATTAACAGACAGACAACCTTTTACAAAATAGCAAAAGAACACTACAGAGCAAACAGAGTTACAAACAAAGTGGTAGGAAATTAACAATTCTTGTTGTATTACATATTGATATATTCAAAGTGGTTTCTCCTGAAAACAAATACAGATGTGCAATATTGATCAATCAAGGACTGATTAACAGTTTCTTTCAGCAAAGAAATAGAAGACAGCAGAACAACTATGTTAACTATCCTATATATGCATATATACAAAATTTCTCCTTCTTTCTCTTCTCTTTTCCCACATTCCAGTTGCCCTTTACCCTTGAGCATTTTCCTATCATTACACAATGTTTATTATACCTCTGAGTTTATATTAACTCTTTCAAGTTTTACACTACTGAGACAATGTGGTGCTTGCATATGCAGGTCTGATTTACTTCACTTATGAGTATGGTCTCTAGTTGTGACCATTTACCTATAAAAACCTCGTTTATCTTTCTTTATAGCTGAGTAATATTCCATT